CTATATTTGGGAGCTTGCCGAGCTCGAAACAAGGACAGAGGTTTGATAATTCTTTAGAAGTAGTATTTGTTTTCCTTTTTGATGAGCCCAAAGAACATCTTCTGAAGCATAGTTTGAACTCTTTCTTTGCAGGATACCAGTAAAAGGTAACAGTAAGATGTAAGCATGCAACTTTTCGGTTATGCCATTATTATTTTTGTCTACCTCTGAATTACTTTCTGTTTTGTTTTTGTTTAGGTACCTGTAGTGAATGCTACAATTCCTATTGATTGTAGCTGTCAGTACAATGAATGCTCATTCCCTTAATGTATCTTTGACGTGCAGAGTGATTAGGGAGATAAATGCACCAAAAGTTGTTGAATGCTTTGATGTCCATAAGTATAAACAACTTTAAAAATTTGGCAATGATAACCTCACACAAGATGCTGTAAGAAATTTGTGGTTGCTTGATCAATTTACTTGTAATGTCCACATCTTGATCTAACGTGTTTACCATTTTTATTAGTACTACTGCCTCACTGGAGACTAAGAAAAATGTCCTGACCTGGTCAAACATTACTTATTTTTGTCATCATTGGTCCCAAATTACATCGTTCATCTTGGGGACCGCCGTGCCATGAATATCTTAATTCACCAAGCCCCGTCCAAAGTTGTTCACATAGATCTCGGAATTGCCTTTGAACAAGGATTAATGCCCAAGGCTCTTGAACGAGCATGTTTTATGCCCTCTGCTTTCCTTTCTTTAGTTAAATATTTTTATTTGAGGTTCTAATGTATTCAGCTTTGTCCTGATTTGACAGGTTCCGTTTAGATTAACTATATACATAATCGATGGTGGGGTGTCACAGGAGTTGAAGGGCATGTTCAAAAGACATTGTGAAGAAACTGTTTAAGTCCCGCATCGACTATGGGCACCCTCCCCAACCTTTTGGGTAGTTCTACCCCGGCCCTACCCATGGACCTTAGAAAAGATTTAACCCTTCCCCAACAAGCTAGCTTTTAATAGAACACGTCCATGATAAGCCCAATGAAATCCTTTCTAAGGTTCATGAGGACTAGACCTCGCCCCACATACTAGTTTGGTGGGAGAAGGCGCTCGTAATCTCATGAGGAGTCAATTTTCCTTACATGTGGTTGATGTGTCACTCTACCAGAAACTTTGTCGGTTATAAAGAGGTGTTGTCACCATTGTTGGAGTAAAGCGATATAAATCACTAATCAGAAAGTTAAAATATGAATAGAATATCGAATACTAAAATCAAAATTCATCTGTTTGCAGGGTTTTATACATGATGATGATCCTCTATCTCTACAAATAGGCCTTATCCTTATTGCATGCATGTGCTTAAGCTGCAAACATGCATATTTTCTTTTCTATCATCAATACGGTCGAATTTATGTATTTTTTCCCTGTAAGCTTCGGTGTTTCTGCACATTGTGGAAGAGGAGAGAGATAGAGTTGAAATATTTTTTTAAAATGAAAATATTATCAAAGTAGTTCCGCATATGTCGAACAAACTAGACCTGTTCGTCATACTTGTCAAATTGGTTAAACTGGTTATACTCGCAAAATTGGTAACGTTGGTCATAATTATCAAAGTGGTCAAACTGATCATACTCATTAAATTTATGATATGATATGATTATTATGATGTTAACACTTTTAAAACGATGAATCGTACAATTTCGAACAGGTCTGACCGTCTGATCAAGGTATGACCGTATGACCGTCTGACCATTTGGGTACGAAAAAGAAAGGTCTAAATTAAATTTAAACTATTGAAAAAGTTGTATAGGTGTTATAAAAATATTACTGCATCGTTTTTGAGTTATAATTTCACGTGAAAAAAAAAACTCCCAACATAAGTCAATTGTATCCAATGTGTTACACAAACACTACTAGTACTTTAGGTCTTCTTTGGAAATAGTTACATTGACATCCAAAAAAGGTTATCAATCCGTATTGCTACGACCAATTTCAATTTGAGAAATCTATCATACGATATGATTATTATGATGTTAACACTTTTAAAACGATGAATCGTATAATTTCGAACAGGTCTGACCGTCTGACCGTCTGACCGTATGACCGTCTGACCATTTGGGTACGAAAAAGAAAGGTCTAAATTAAATTTAAACTATTTTAAAAGTTGTATAGGGGTTATAAAAATATTAGTGCATCGTTTTTGAGTTATAATTTCACTTGAAAAAAAAAATCTCCCAACATAAGTCAATTGTATCCAATGTGTTACACAAACACTACTAGTACTTTAGATCTTCTTTGGAAATAGTTACATTGACATCCAAAAAAGGTGATCAATTCGTATTGCTACGACGAATTTCAATTTGAGAAATCTATCATATGATATGATTATTATGATGTTAACACTTTTAAAATGATGAATCGTACAATTTCGAACAGGTCTGACCGTCTGACCAAGATATGACCGTATGACCATTTGGGTATGAAAAAGAAATGTCTAAATTAAATTTAAACTATTTAAAAAGTTGTATAGGAGTTATAAAAATACTACTGCATCGTTTTTGAGTTATAATTTCACATGAAAAAAAATCTCCCAACATAAGTCAATTGTATCCAATGTGTTACACAAACACTACTAATATTTTAGGTCTTCTTTTGAAAGAGTTATATTGACATAAAAAAAGGTGTTCAATCCGTATTGTTACGACCAATTTTAACTTGAGAAATTTGTCATACGATATGATTATTACGATGGTAACACTTTTAAAACGATGAATCGTGCAATTTCGAACAGGTATGACCGTTTGACCAATGTATGACCATCTGACCGTATGACCATTTGAGTACGAAAAAGAAAGGCGTAAATTAAATTTAAACAATTTCAAAAAGTTGTATAGGGTTATAAGAACATTAAGTCAATTGTATCCAATGTGTTACACAAACACTACTAGTACTTTAGATCTTTTTTGGAAAGAGTTACATTGACATTCAAAAAAGGTGCTCAATCCATATTGCTACGACCAATTTTAACTTGAGAAATCTTTCATACGATATGATTATTACGATGTTAACACTTTTAAAACGATGAATTGTGCAATTTCGAACATGTCTGACCGTCTGACCAAGGTATGACCGTATGACCATTTGGATACGAAAAAGAAATGCGTAAATTAAATTTAAACAGTTCAAAAAGTTGTATAGGGTTGTAAGAATACTACTGCGCTTTGGAGTTCTAATTTCATATGAAAAAAAATCTCCCAACATAAATCAATTGTATCAAAAAAGAAAGGACTAAATTAAATTTAAATGATTCAAAAAGTTGTATAGGGGTTATAAGAATACTATTGCATCAATTTCAAACGAGTATGACCGTCTGGCCAATGTATGATCGTCTGACTATTTGAACACGAAAATGAAAGGTCTAAATTAAATTTAAACGATTCGAAAAGTTCCATATGTGTATGATCATAGTATGACCTTCTGTCCATTTAGACACAAAAATGAAAGTCTAAATTAAATTAAATTTAAACGATTCAAAAATTTAATATGTTACCGTCTGATCATGTAATTGTTTGACCAAAGTCTTACCGTATGACCAATTTAGACTTGAAAAATTTGTTATATGGGATGATTATTACCATATTAAGACCTTTAAAATGACAAATTCATCAATTTTCAACAAGTCTGATGGTCTGACCAAAGTCTAACTATATGACCTAAGTCTGATCGTATGATCAAAGTCTGGTCGGTATGACCATTTGTACATGAAAAATAAAGACCTAAATTAAATTTAAACAATTCAAAAAGTTGTTTAAGGGTTATAAAAACACATTTTCATTGTTTTGGTGATCTAATTCCATGTGTAAAAAAATCTATCAACTTAACCCAAAGTCTGACCGTCTGACCAAATTCTGACCATATGACCAAAGTCTGACCGACATAACCAGTATGATGTTTTAAGAGCCAAAATTTCTCTGAGGATTTTTATCGAACACTTTCCATACATTTTCAAATTCTTCAACTTTGGAGTGTCAGATCTCGTCATATATAGAAATCTGACAAGTATAACAAGAAAACTAATAAAATTGTTAATAGAATTACAATGAAATCTCTTTGGGAGAAGAAAAAAATCAGAAAATGTTTGTGCGTTTTAAATTTTTGGGAAAAGTGAAAGTATAAGTTTTTCACTCCAAAAGTTTTCCGTTGGTTCACATAAAAGTGACACATCTTCAATTTCATAATGGTTAAATCGGTCTTTTCAGCATTTTTGTTTTTTTTCTAAAAACCTAACCCTAGAAGGTCATACGGTGAAGTACAAATCGACATTTACGGTTATTTTTGCAATTTTTCCCGTTGGTATTTGCTCCTCCACCACCATATTAGTAATACACGTGACCAAACCTTTGAGAGATTATAAAACCCATTCATTTGCTCTAAAAATAACAACACGTTTTTAATGCTTTTTGTTGTCTTGTTCAAACTTAGTGCACTCAACATCTTCCGGCTTGTGCCAACTTTCAAAAGGTAATTTGATGTCTATCTATTGATATCGAATTAATCTTTAAAGACATGCGGAATTTGGAAGATATGGTAATAATAATAAAATGGTGGTGAATGTCAGTTGCAGCAACTGGTTGAGCGAGATATATTACGTATGTTTTGGTATTCACGAGTACTAGCAATATATGGAATCTATGAATGAAAAGGGTGTTGAAATCTGGTATATACTTCACGTGAAGGAGCTAGAGTTGTATATTTTGGTTTGTATATTTTGGTTTATAGCTTTGTGTTTTTTCCTATTGTTCTACAATCTGGTACCTTTCATTATGTTCTGTCACAAACTGAAAATTTCATGGAATCTTAGGAGAACCAGAAACATTAAAACCGAGGACAGCGAAGTGTCTGCTGCAATGACAAAACTCTAACTTAATACCCGAAAACCATACTGTAATAACATTTCTTTGAATCTTCTGACCCAACTTGCCCAACAACACTATATGCCCTAGAAGAGTTAGTTTCAGATGGGATCGTTTTCTTCCTTGCGCTTGAATTCTATTGTTTTGAAATGCCAAGACAGAGGCGATGAAGGTAAAGACATGGGCGAGCATGGCGATGAGCACCATGAACGTTCCAGCCAATCAGAAATTCCGGTCATCGGTATCTCTTCTACTTCATCCCGGTTGTGATTGTCCTTATCATCATCCATCTAATATGTAAAAAAAGTAACAGAGTTCAGAAACTTAAGAGCAAACAAACAAAGAGTGTTGTGATCAGTATATTAAAACATTAAGTTGCTTCTTATTCAGAGACTTATTATTTATCTGAAATCAACCAAAGATTGAACTCACTCACTGGACCTATGTTATCTCCCCTTTGTATTGTTTCATGTCATTTCCTATATCATTTCCTATATCTTCCACTCTTTCTGACTTCTGATTCCGTCTTAAAGTCGTAATGTTCGAGGTTGTTTACGCTCGGTTTTCCACTGATCTATGGTTGAAGTTTAGAAAAATGAAATTTCGGTTGGTGTCTCTTACATAATTATAAGGAATCTACATAGACTAGAGGCATGAATATTAGAATGTACCTTTTTTTAATTTGTACTCAACAATATTTTCCTTTTCAACGGAATCTGCAAGAGAAGAGTATACATAGATAAACAATACATAATGTATTTTTATCATATTCTAAGGGATATCTAACCGGTTACCTTGTCCATAAAGAATGAGATCCGAGAAGTAATTGTCTCATTGTTTGTCTTATTCTTCAACGCATTTACGGTGATCATGCAAGAAACCTTCCTTGGATATGTCAAGATCCTCAATAATGTTCTTCTTCGATGAAGCTTGAGCTCGAGGTTGAAGTTGATACTTTGATTTATTTGTAATATCATTAAGAGCCGTGCGGCTTCCGAGACCAGCCTCATTTTTCTTTGGAGCCACTATAGAACTTTTACTCTTAGTAACATCAACAGCTTTTATACGGTAAACCAACCGAATAACAACGTTAGAAGATACAAAGAATGCCACCATATCAAACGGAATTTCACCAAAGGATTCCAGAAACATGAATATGTTTTTTGCCCAAAACATACAGGATTGCTGCTCCATGGGAAAAATTAAAGTCTTTATGTGGAAGAACACCATATCCACACAAAACAGGCAACAGATGAAGAATGCGGACAACCAAAAATCAAAATCTCACGTAGATTCAAAAGGGGAGACAGAAATATTCACACTTCTTTATTCCTTTCTATCTTGTTCTCTAATCATATAACACGGATTCATCCAAAATAGGCTATCCCGAGAAACACCACATGAAAAAAACCAGAGCCACAAAACCCACACAACATCAAAATCCTTCAAAAATGAAATATTTTGAAGAAAAGTGAGAATCTATAAGAGGAACAAGGAACATTACTCTTGCCATGAGCGTGGACATTTTTGTTCTAAAAAATCACCTGCCCACTGTTGAAATAGAAACAAAATATGGAGATTTGATATGATTGATAATAATTAAAGATATAATATCAATTAAGAATAAAATATATATCGTGTCAATTATATTTTGCCTTATTTGTTTCTTTCGTATCTTTATTTCATTGTTTCTTTCAATAACTTTTTCTATAAATGTATGAATTATTTTCATTGTAATGTAACAAGAAGAAGAGATGTAGTAATAAAATTATTCTTTGTTTTATTTTTTTCTTCTTTTCTCTCTTTTTAATTTCCGCATTTTATTTTTCAATATGATATCAGAGTAGCGTTGCGATCTGAACTATATGTTTCTCTTTTTCTAATTTTCTAATCTCTTCTTTCTTTTGCATTTGGGATGTTCATATATCCAAATCGTTCAAAGGGGAGTAAAAAAACCAAATTCAAACGATGTGCTGAGACAGAAAGAAGTCAAAGCTAAAAACTCTAAGATCAAGCAAGATGCTATGACAAAAAGAGTTAAAGCTAGAACTTTAAAGTCAAACGAAGTGATTTGAAAAAGGTTAGTACTCTCTAAACGAATGAAATTTGGTGTCTGTGGATTGTTCGAATAACAATGAAGTTTTTCATCATTTTGTTTTATCTTCAAGATTGATTTTTGAATTCTTTCAAAATCAATCTTGAGGGGAATGTTGAAATAGAAACAAAATATGAAGATTTGATATGATTGATAATAATTAAAGATATAATATCAATTAAGAATAAAATATATATCGTGTCAATTATATTTTGTCTTATTTGTTTCTTTCGTATCTTTATTTTCTTGTTTCTTTCAATAACTTTTCATATAAATGTATGGATTATTTTCATTGTAATGTAACAAGAAGAAGAGATGTAGTAATAAAAGTGTTCTTTGTTTTATTTTTTTCTTCTTTTCTCTCTTTTTAATTTCCGCATTTTATTTTTCAATACCCACGACTGATTGTGCTCGCCATATCCTTCTCTTCAGTAATGTCCAACACTTGAATGGTAAATTCTACAAGAACAAGATTACCCTCATTGTCACGGGTCAGTCATAAATAACAAAAACAAAAAATCTATAGCTTACGAACTTCGACACGCATGACTACGTAGCACTTAAACACGCTAATCCCCCAACAATTACACAGCTAAGACCAATTGTTGGTTGGTAGCGAAGGAAGAAATCTCAATAGCCAAAGTAGTTTCCCCAAATACCAAAAACCCTCTAGGATCAAATACAAAAAAAGGGGGCAAAACAGAAATAGCGACATAAACAGACTAATTAGATCGGGAAATATGATGGCGGCAAACGAATTGGGGGTGTAATGGAGAATAAACTCAAATTATAGTAAACACTGCTATGGTACACATCAAGATGAAATCGGATATCTGACGAGAGAAATCTCACCGGTACGGAGATTTGGGAAGGAGTCGAGCGAGAGAGGAGGAAGAAGAGTGCTACAAGAGAAGCACATAGAGATGAGGAGGGAAACAAGTCGAAAGTTGAGAGAGAGAAGCGCGTTATGGAAAATGTTCAAAATTAAGCATGGAAACGTCGTCATTTTTAATTTGCGAAGGAAGATATTTAAATTGGACTTTCTTTGTTTAAATTGGTTTTGTTTAGAAAATAGGTGGACCCCTTAGAAGTTGTGGGATTAATAAATTTTTGTTGTTTCATAGTTTTAATTTTATAAAAATAAAAATAGTTTTTTTTTCATAGTTTTAATTTAAAAATTCTAATAAAAAGTCCTAAAATCTTCACTTTCAACTTCTTCCTACTGAATGAATAATCAAGAAATCAAATTTTCAGTTCATCCAGGCAATGCATACATCGCCTAAAGAAACTCTCCATATTTTAGAAAAAAAATTATACTTTTGGAAATGGTTTGCTGCTCCTAGTTTATGGTTAAAAAAAATGGTTTTTAAAATAAAAAGATATGAATAAATAAAATGTGTGAACACAAGGGATCCGTGGCGCAATGGTAGCGCGTCTGACTCCAGATCAGAAGGTTGCGTGTTCGATTCACGTCGGGTTCAAAATCCCCGATCACCATCCCCTCTTTTTTGTTTGTTTTTTGGTTAGGGTTTTTTCATTGCTCGTTCAGTTTCCATGGCGGATTTCTTCTTGTCCACAGCTACTGATTAATTTTTTTAGTTCTGCTCTGCTTCCATGTCTCTGTGCGAAGAGGTTTTTGGTATTCGTATCTCCGATTTTCATCCCAACACTTGCTTTCGCGATTCCGCTTCCATGTCAGACGATATGTAATTACGTAATTGCTGATGTCAGACTTACCACTGGAATAATTTTTTTTAAGCTGATTTCTCCTCTTAATTTTAGCTTAATAGTTAATAATCTCCTGATAAACTGAAACTAAATGCTTCAAAGTGAAGATTCCCGCAAGTAATGATAACATGATTAACTCCAGGGAGCTTTTTGTTCAACACCTATTTATTGGGCTTCTTTTTGAGTCAGTTTTAATTAAAGGCCCAAACTGGTTAATTTTTATGAAGGCCCATTAAGAAAACCCTAATTCCTCAACCCCTCGCATACAAAACCCCCACGTTCTCGCTTCCTTCTTCTGTAGCCACTGCCGAAAACGCGAGCTTTCTTCTCTGAAAACTCTAGAAACCACCGGAAGGAACCATGGCAGAAGCAGGAGCAGCACCAGCATCCACAGCTCCGGAGAGAGGAGGATTCCGCCGTGGTTTTGGCGGTGGACGTGGTGGACGCGGCGGTCGTCGCCGTGCGAGGAAGGACGAGGAGGAGAAGTGGGTTCCCGTGACGAAGCTCGGCCGTCTTGTCCGAGAGGGAAAAATCCGTTCTATTGAGCAGATCTATCTCCATTCTCTCCCCATCAAGGAGTACCAGATCGTTGATCTCCTCATCGGTCCCTCTCTGAAAGACGAGGTGATGAAGATCACGCCTGTTCAGAAGCAGACTCGGGCGGGTCAGAGAACCCGTTTCAAGGCCTTCGTCGTCGTGGGAGACGGGAACGGTCACGTGGGTCTCGGCGTGAAGTGCGCGAAGGAGGTCGCGACCGCGATTCGTGGCGCGATCGTATTGGCTAAGCTCTCCGTGATTCCTGTGAGGAGAGGGTACTGGGGAAACAAGATTGGAAAACCTCACACCGTACCCTGCAAGGTCACCGGAAAATGCGGGTCGGTGACGGTTAGGATGGTTCCGGCGCCGAGAGGAGCCGGAATTGTCGCTGCTAGGGTTCCGAAGAAGGTTCTTCAGTTCGCTGGGATCGATGACGTGTTTACATCTTCCAGAGGATCCACGAAAACCCTTGGAAATTTTGTCAAGGTATCATCTTTTACTTGGTTTATTTTGTCGCATACGTATTGTGTTTGTATTGTGCTTTATCCTCCGTTTGTCATTGGAGAGGAATTCATGTTTGCATATAGTGATGGGTTAATCTTTGTATGTGTTTGCATAACGGTGCCGGTCTTTTGGAATTGCAGTTAACGCTGATAACATGTCCATGAAGAAATTAACTTATGTTTGAATCTGAATTAGTTACATATGTTTGATTCCTTTCTTGGATTTCTACATGACGCCATGTTCTGTGGATAATCTTAAATTTGTTTGTATGCACAAGTTAAAACACTGCAACATCTCTCATGTTTGTTCTTTCTCCATAGAGAATTGACACAAATGTTTCATATTGGCAGGCAACCTTTGAATGTCTGATGAAAACGTACGGGTTCTTGACACCCGAATTCTGGAAAGAGACTCGTTTCACAAAGTCGCCCGTGCAAGAATACACCGACTTGTTGGCTAAACCCATCTCCAAAGCTATCATCCACGAGGACCTCGACAACGTCCCACCCTCCTAAATCCTCTGATATCATCCGTTCTAGTTTTGTTTTCAGTATCCCCTTTTCTTCTTTTGTCCAATTTGTCACTTTGATCCGTTTTGGTATTGGATCTGTTTCACATTGCATGGGTTTTCTTTTCCCTCACTGGATATGGTCATTCATGTCAAGATTTAGGCGAGTGTTCTTGGTTCACTGGATACACTGTGGCTTTAAGTAGTGAAAATTCCAAAAATTGACAAAATTGGTGGAAGCATTCGTTATAGTAGATTATACATTAGTTTGATCTTTGCAAATGTAACAGCCATGCATTTGAAGGCTGTTACACAGTTCTTGAGCTGGTAAATGAATAGCTGCAAAGAAGCATTATCATCATCATTCATCCCCTGGAACAGCAATGGGTTACACTGTTCTTGAACTGTTATACTATGGAAGAAAACACTTGATTTCACCCAAAAAATATCTTGACATGGGTGTGGAAGAATGCTAAACCAATCGAAACCCTAAAACCCCTATCTAAAACCCTAAGCGTTTCATTTCAAACAAAGACCAATGTATCATCATCGTAATATGCTTATTTGATAGAGATCATTCTCAAGAACACAAATCTTCAAGACTCAATCTTCAGTTGGTGCTTCCTGCTAACTGCAAAGAACCCTCCCTCATCAACTTGAGGCTCAAACTGTTGAATCTTTCCCGGGAATACTGACGCGACGCTTTCCTCCAGTCCGTCCCCGCCTTCATCATAGCTGCAAACTCTTCGTAGCTTATCCGCCCGTCCTAACCATGAAAAAATGTACCTTAGTTCAGAAAAACCCGACTTTACCCTTTTGGACAAGAATCCCACAAACAAAACACAATTCAAGGGTTACACTGATGAGACTATCTAAGACGGGTCGAAAACCATATATCTCAGGGGTTCTAACCTTGTCAGTATCCACATCTTGCATAATGGCACTGACAACTTCCTCACTGCTAGTATCCACCTCGTCATTCAATGCCTCATGAAGCTCTTCGATCTCTATATAACCGCTCTGGTTCTGATCGAAAAAGTTGAAAGCTTTATGCAAATGCTCATCGTTGGCCATCTTCTTAAGGTGCACTGAGACTGCTACAAACTCAGCATAGTTCAATGTACCATCCCCATCTACATCAGCCTGCATCAAAAACATTTCAAGCTAACTGTTTGTATCTTCCGCCTTCTTGTGTCTATTGCTTGGTTGAAGGATAAAAAAAATTTTAATAGCCTTAACAAATTCGATGTTTGGAAATCTTGAACAAAAGAAATTTTCAGATTTTGAAAAGAAATAATCCTCACGGATTCCATCAGAATCTGAACATCTGCATCGGGGATTTGTTGACCGAGTTTTTGAAGTCCATTTCTAAGCTCATCGAGGTTTATCTTCCCCTTCTTGTTTGTGTCCATCATGTCAAATGCTTCTTTTATGCCCGCAACTTCCTCCACCGATAAATGCTCCGCTATCACCTAAAAGTAGAAAAAGAAGAAGATCAAACGCTGAAGGAAGAGCTGCAAGCAAATAACAAATTGAACAGTACCCGTAAAGCTCGTTTCTTGAGCTTGTTCATAACAGAAAATTGTTTGAGCCTGGCTTTCACAGTCTCCCCGAGGGAGACATTTGGAGCTTTCTTTGCGTTTAGTATCCATGGATGTTCTGCAGATATACAAAGGGACAGTACATTGGTTTATGACCCAATCATCTGAAAACCTTATGCTAAAATGGAAACCTACCGAGAACTTCTGAAGCAGAAAGCCGTTTTTTCGGGTCAGGTTCAAGCATCTTCCTCACAAGATCTTTGGCACTGTCTGAAACTCTCGGCCATGGATCCCTCTTAAAGTCAATAACTGACCTAATGATCGCCTGAGCCACCCCTTGCTCAGTTTCTTCATGGAAAATGGACAAAAATTACAGGAGAAGCTCCGAAGAGAAAAGCAGGTAACACAAATGTGATGTAAACTATGAACAAGGCAGGGGAGGTAAAGCATGACCAACCGGCCCAAAAAGGCGGGACACCACAAAGCAGAATGTAGAGGATAACTCCTGCACTCCAGACATCAACTTCAGGACCATAGTTTCTTCGGAGCACCTCTGGTGCCATGTAATAAGGGCTTCCAACTATCTCATTAAATCGCTCACCTGTTAAGTTATGCACATTCAGACACAGTAAAGTTGTAATATGGGGAAAACATGAGTGATTAATGCAATGACTCATGCTTTGCCCACAATTACAGACAACAGAAAAAACACCACACAGAATTCTAAATACGAAATGCAATGATATTTTTCGCATACCGGGTTTAAAGAAGATAGATAATCCAAAATCTATGGCCTTAAGAACCGATGTCTCTTTTTTATTTGCAAAGAGAAAGTTCTCCGGTTTAAGATCCCGGTGCATGACACCGTGCTTATGACACATCTGCAATAGAGATTGCATTTGAGCATTAAAGAAAACTGTAAAAAAAAATAACAACTGTGACTATTATAAGAGCCTTATGGAGTAAGGACAAGCCAATCCATAAAGACAGACGGAGCAAGTTTCGACAGGGAAAGCTGCAAGAAGCTTAAACACCTGAACCTGATTACAACGGAACACACCCATTCGAATACTAGGAATATCTGATCCAGTTCTGTACTAGTTCAATGAACACACACAAATATATAAGAAACTGGTAGATGCAGAAGTTAACCAACTACAAACCTGAACAACTTCAACGATAGTCTTCATAACAGCAGCGGCAGCCCGTTCAGTATAGTGGCCTCTTGCAACAATCCGATCAAACAGTTCCCCTCCCTCGCACAACTCCATAACTATATGAACTGCGTCATCATCTTCAAAAGAATCTTTCAGCGTGACAATATTCGGGTGTTTAGGCATATGCTTCATTATCTCTACCTCTCTCCTCACATCCTCTATATCCACAGCCGTCCTGAGCTTCTTCTTCGATATAGACTTGCATGCATATTCTTCACCTGTTCTGATATCGGAACACAAGTAAGTTATACCAAACTCGCCACGACCAAGCTCGCGGCCCAGATCATACATTCCGGATATATCATGACCCGTCGGATCTTTCAACACGGAGAGCCTGAAACCAGCTCCAGGTCCATTTGTTGCAGTGTATTCTTCGTTGTAAAAAGGGTTGTTTTTGCTCTTGGGTTTCCCTTGTTTATTCCCACCCGGGCTTGCACAGCAATTCCCCATCTGATCAAATCTGAGGATTCTCAAAAGCCTCCTGAGATTTCATCAACACCAAAAACGAACACTTCAATCACAGATTTCATCTCCCAATCAGAAGTTCCAAGCTTTACCACTAATCTCCAAAGAAAGTTCCATACTTCGCCTAATCTCCGGTAAACAGCCAAGAAATCTAGGTTGCCACCAAACCCATAAGCACAGAGGAAACCAATTTGACCTAGGATGATAAAAAAAAATATGTTGGATATAACGAATGAAATACCCGAGATCAGACAGAACCCCAAAAGATTCAAGAACAGAGAAGAAAACCCTAGGTGAACAAAAACCACAGCAAGATTCAACCACTAACCTGAGATTTCCTCGAAACTTTCTCAACCCGAATAAGAGGGAAACAGAGATTTTTATCGGATGAATAATTAGCAAAAATGCGTAATGACAAAATCAATGCAGAAGGCAGACGGGGAATGAGAAGCAAATGGAGAGGCAGAGAGAGAAAGAGAAGAAGAGTTAAAGTCTCCCACTTTCTCTATCTGACCAACATGAAACACAAAGTTTCTCTTTTTCTTTCTATCTTGTAGATTCAAAAGATGACGCCCAAGCAAAAGTCTCTCTCTCTCTCTCTCTCTCTCTCTCTCTCTCTCTCTCTCTCTCTCTCTCTCTGATTCTTTCGAATAAAAAAATTACAGCTCTCGATGGTTGCTTGTTGGTATTAACCAATCTTTCCGTTGCAGATGAAATAAAATATTTTAATTTTCATTCCAGTTAATTTGAAAAATCCTTTAAGAAATTGTGGAAGAATCCGTGCTCTTTTTTTTTTCAAACGGAAAAGTAAAAACAAAAATTGGTAGAAAATTAATCGGATTAAAAAGTCTGAGTTAATAGATAAACATCTGATTGTAAAATCAAAACAGTGGGTTATAAACATAAAAAGATCTAATTCCTTTTCAGTAATTTCCATTCATTGTTCTCTTTTTATATTTTGAAACACAAATATTTTATAACCCATATCAAATGATTATATGACTAGAATGAGAATAAAAATTCATAAATATCCGAAATTAGTTTAAAATGATGGTTATCAATATCATGTAAAAAAATAGAGACATTGACGTAAGTTTTTTTATACTTTTATTGTAGACCGGATATAATTATTATAGAATAAGGTTTGTCATGTCGGTTAACTCCAATTAAATGTGATCGGGTTTTCATTTTAATCTATTGGACTTCGGTATTGAATCGAGTATATGGTTTAATATATGCGTAGATACCGGTAAGTTATTATCTAATTTTATGATGGGCAAAATTGGATAATACTGAATAACGATTTTGGTTATAGTCTCTGGTTCACGTGTACCGACTAATATGAAGTTTGGTTTGGTTTTGGTTCATATAGATAGAAGATACGTTGAATGTGCATAGTCTTGATCAATTAAATAACCATTTAATTGATTGATTAATGGAGAAAAGAATGATCATTTGGTTTCTTGGTCAATGCATATTCATGCATTCTTTTTTCTCTTATGGTTATAAATAATGCACAACTCTTCATTCTCTACACCATATTTTTTTGGCAAACCAATTTTAAGAGTTCTCCACAAGTTCTTCTCCACAAGTTATTGATTCTTATCCCATCAAGGAATTAAGAGGTTAAGGTACATGAAAAATCAGAAACTGGTAACCGTTTACGCTTCCGATCATGACTCTATGTTGGTTTCTGAATCTTTGATCTAGTTTATTTCAATCCCGATATGCAATCACATAGTTTCAAATCCGGGGTTTATTAAAGTTTCGGGATCATTCGATTCCATCAATTGAACCATTCTAGCTATATATATATACACACGGTCATACGGAAAATTATAAATAGTTATAAATTTTTTAATTAAAATTGTGTTGTCCCTTTTGTTTTCATTTTCATTTTCATTTGTTTCTACAATATAAATTTATAGTTTTTCTTCCTTTTGAAATGGACTCCTATGTATTCAGGGTTTCAATAGAAACCTCAGTTTTGTACATGGATTTATATTTTTTTAATATTATTTACAATTCACCAAAAAAAGATAATTTAAAGATGGAAAAAACTATTGGTATACAAAATTCATTTCAAAGACCCGTGGTGGCTAATTGGTAATAGTTTTGGTTGGAAATGCCATCTGATTTAGAGGTTCCATGTTTGAATCTGCAGATAGGAGAGGATGGTGCATTTACACTAAAGGTTGTCTCCAATTCTAGAGAATTAATTGGGGCAAAAATCAAGTGAATCTCCGTTTATGAAAAAAATAATCATTTCAAAGGTGTATATATAACGGGGCAACTTCCGTTATACCCTCAATCTGCTACATTAACATCCTTTCATACCCTCTCCTTAAAAAAAATATTATAACTTCTAATATACCCTTTATAATATGTGATGACCAAAATACCCTTTTTTTTTAATTTTTGAATAAAAAAATTTTCCCAAAAAATAGGGTTTAGTTGTCTCTCTCCTCTCTCATTCTGCTTTCTCTCTCCTGCTTCTCTCTCCCTCGTCGCTGAGCTCTCTCTCCTCTGAATGTTGCGATTTTTAATCCAAAATCGTTAAAAATTCCAGCAAAATCAGTGTGAAATTAGTTAAGAGGTTGAAGACAGGTAAGCAATTGCGAAAACCTTATTGTTTTTCATGCACATTGATGTTTGTTGTTATTTTTTGGTTGAACAGTGATGTTGCTTCCACCTTTTTTTCTTGTAATTGCTGATGTTTGTGCAGTTTTTATCCTTTGGACTATAGTATAGTCATAGATCCGGGTCGGATCTGGGGTTTGAGATGTTGTTTTTAGAATATCACTATACACAAAAGTCGGGTCACATTAGAGAGAAGTTTGTGACATGGCCACACAGTCACATGGTCACATAGTGATATGGTTACATTAGACCTGTGTGTTTAGAATAACAGTTCGGATAGGATTCAAGGATGACATGGTACTATCTTCACACGGTCACATGGTACTATGTTTATATGGTCACATGGTACTATATTAACATGGTCACATGGTACTATATTAACATGGTCACATGGTATTATGTTCACATGGTCACATGGTACCATACTAACATGGTCACATGGTCACATGATTCATAACAGTGGGATTAGTAATAATGGTCACATGATGAGGAATTCACATGGTCACAATTTCATATGGTAACATGATATAGAATAGTTGGAATAGTAATAATGGCCACATGGTGACATGGTATTATATTCACATGGTCACATGGTATTATATTCATATGGTCACATAGTCATAGAGTCCAGAATAGTTTAATTGATCTGCATTTTGTATTTATCCTTTCTACAGGTACGATGGACGGGCAAGATGAGAGATCGACAATTGTATACTTTCTGTATGATGTTAGGTGGAGAGTGAATAAAAACGGAGAATATCAATGGGAATGAAAGTTTATGGAAACTCAAAGATTGTTATTCTTTTGTCCCCCCCTGTGAGGTAACCTATAGTGAACTTGTTCGAGAGTTATGTGCTGAGATGAAAGTGGAGAAAAATAAAACGGAGATTAGATTGAGTTATTTGCCAAATGTCAAGGAAAACAGAAAGCCG